TTTTATGTTTTATTTACTATACAGTATGTATTACAGTAATGCATGCAGATGTACAATATTTAGTCTTATTTATGAGTTTAACAATGCTTCCCTGAAGACGGCCGCTTGTGTTGCTGCCGAAACGTCGTGACTTATTTTATTTTTTCTACCTACGTGGCTTTACCGAAAGAACCAAAGAGTATGGATTCCTGCAGTCACGAAAGCTTCAAATCAAGATTCTTACCTTTTTTCTTGAATCGTAACAACACATTTCATAACACTGACCGTATGAGCATTTACGAACCGAGTCTCTGTGTGAGTCTCTGGAAGTCTCTATGTGAGAACATGGGTCTCTGTGTGAGTTTATAGGTCTCTGTACGAATATATATGTTTATATGTGTCTATGGGTTTGTATGCGAGTCTATAGGTCTCTATTTCAGTATATAGGTGTCTGTGTATGTGTGACTATGGGTTTGTATGTGAGTCTATAGGTCTCTATTTCAGTATATGGGTGTCTGTGTCTGTGAGTCTATGGGTCTCTTTGTGAGCCTCTGGGTCTCTCTGTGAGTACTGTATATAGGTCTCGGTGTGAGTCTATAGGTCTCTGTGTACGTCTGTTGGTCTCTGTGTAAATATATGAGTGTCTATGGGTCGCTGTGTAAATCTATGGGTGTCTGTTTGAGTCTGTAGATCTCTATGTGAGTCTATGGGTTTCAATGTGAGTATATTGCTCTCTTGTGAGTTTATGGATGACTGTCAGTCTATGGGCCTCTGTGTGAGTGTAAGGGTGTCTGCATGAGCGAGTGTCTGAGTCTCTGCGTGAGTCTAAGGTTGTGTGTGTGAGTCTATATGTCTAGATGTGAGTACATGGCTCTCTGTGTAAGTCGATGGATGTCTGTGAGTTTATGGGTCTCTGTATGAATCTATAGGTTTCTGTGTGTATGGGTCTCTATGTGAGTCTATGGGTCTCTATGTGAGTACATAGGTCTCTGGGTGAGTATATGGGTCTATGTGTGAGTCTATGGGTCTTGTTGTAAGTCTATTGGTCTCTATGTGAGTCTATGGGTCTCGTGTGAGTCGCTGGGTCTCTATGTGTGTCTATGGGTTTCTATGCGAGTCTATGTCTCTATTTCAGTGTATGCGTGTATGTGCGAGTTCATGTGTCTCTTTGTACATCTATGGGTCTCTTTGTGAGCCTCTGGGTCTCTGTGTGAGTCTATCGGTCTTGGTGTGAGTCTATGGGTCTCTATGTGAGTCTATGGGTTTCGTTTGAGTCGCTGGGTCTCTATGTGTGTCTACGGGTTTCTATGTGAGTCTATCAGTCTCTATTTCAGTATATGGGTGTATATGTGAGTTTGTGTCTGTTTGTAAGTCTAGGGGTCTCTTTGTGAGCCTCTGGGTCTCTGTGTGAGTATATAGGTCTATGTTGTCTATATAGGTCTTTTTCCAAAAATTTACATAAAAAATAATTCTGCCATTTTTTTAATAATAATAATCGATGCAATAAATAAATAAAACACCCTCAAACACGCTACCTCTCACAAGCACCAAGCAGCTGGAGGTCGTTAAAGGCCATTAAATAATAAACTGCGGGGCAAAGGGAGGTTAAGACTATCTGCAAAATCTCCAGATTGCCAAAGGACAGTTCACAAACAAATATCCAGAATCACAGGCACAGACACAGAGCACAGGGCAAACGGACATTAAAACTGATGGTTTTTTTTTGTATGGAAAAAGTTGAACCTTGGGTATGAGATTAAGTCGACATTAAAGACTGCAATATTCCTTATATTATTTCTTATTGTATCTTTCAATCTACGTGACTTTACCAAGAGAACCAAAGTACATGGGTTCCTGCAATCACGAAAACTTAAGTCCAAACTAAGCTATATCTCTGACCTCGAGAATAAAAAGCACGGATCCCTGGATGCAGACAGGCAGCAAAAAGTAATAAAACCCTTGAAATACCGGAGGCAACATCTAATGACATTACAAATCTTCTAGATTTGAAGCTTTCGTGACTGCAAGGATCCATACTCTTTGGTTCTATTCGGTAAAGTCACGTATGTAAAAAATAAAACAAAAATCACGACGTTTCGGCCACAACACAAGCGGCCTTCATCAGGTGAAGGGACCAGCCTGTCTCGAAGACTGCGCTGGAGTGAAACAGAGCCAAGCTCAGACTTCGACCTTTAAGCTGTGTGAGAGGGATTAAGGTGCCTCGACAAAGGAATTAGCATAAAAAATCGCATTTGATTGGCGGACGTAGCATGATGAAAGGTGTAGCACGCGGCAGTGCACCTTTAAGCTGTGTGAGAGGGATTAAGGTGCCTTGACAAAGGAATTAGCGTAACAATTAGCATTTGATTGGCGGATTTAGCATGATGAAAGGTGTAGCACAGTGATCGGCACCGGCAGTGCACCAGCCTGTGCTGCGAAAGTTTTGGGTACCACTACTTGAAAAAATATACTGTACCAATGAAAATTAGTTTAATGTTTAGTTCGATTTAGAACATCTTTCCAATGGTTGCTTAATTTGAAACCATCTTCTCGGTTGAAATTGTGTCTGCGCTTGTAGGTCTGAATTGCCTCGTGAACAAATCTCTGATAAAAACCAGCTGTGGACCGAAACTGTGGCCGCCCCCGAGCAAGAGAGAACGAAGCCGTTTGTATGACCCTCGCCCACACTCACACCCTCACGACGCTTCGCCCGGCGTCTGCTTTACACAAATTATTGAACAAGTGGCAAATAAGACACACAACACGCATATCGGGACAAATAAGATTGTTCCAAGAAGTTATCTTTGTGTTTCAAGAAGGGTTACAATTACAAGTTGGTGCATTACATATCAACTGATCGTGAAGAACATGCTCCCCATTGAGCTACGTGGATACAGTCATTTAGAAATATTTTCGTTGTTAGTTTTTTTTTTATTGCATAATCTTACCAATGAATTCATTGATAACTACTCTTGCCTTCGGGACATGTTTCTTTATTGCCCTTCGTATGAATATCGTTGCATGACTTTTTAATTACTTTTCCTCTCGCTGTGTATGCTCGCGTACTCTGAGGAATAATCGATTGTATTGTTACCCAGTTAGCAAACGTGACCATTGAGGGTTAAATGTATGGATCAATGAGGGGGAACATCTCCTGGAGTACTGTGACAATTCCAAGCATAAGAGTTTGCATATTAGAGTGTTAAGGTTTTGTTTAGAAATTAAAATTGCTTAACACAGAAGTGTTTGAGTGTTTCTTTCCTAAGTTCATGCATAATAATCTTAATTATAAGAACTGTATCCTGCGGTGAGATTTGAATTTGGAGACCTGATATAAACACACTAAGACATAATCAGTAAATGTTAAAGCAAGAACAATTGTATTATACCGATTGATAATACAACCCTAGACAGCGAAGCCGAGCTTAATCTAGCATACTTACATCACACCTGCATAACTTCATACAATAATTGTCTTATCCCGATTGATAATACTACCCTCGACAACGAGGTTAAGCCTAAGTATCATAACTGCGTACATTAGCATATTCGTACACATTCACATAAGTTAATATTATTACATCTTAATTAGCATAATCTATGCACATAATTACATTAAATAACATAATTTCGGCAAATTACGTATATTCCCAAATTTCATTTAATTTGTATTATTTTCATTAAAATTTCAATACCCGGCATATAAAACATCTATATGTGAGTATATGGGTATCTGTGTGAGGCTATAGGTCTCTGTGGGAGTCTATGGTTGTGTTTGTGAGTCTATAGGTCTCTATTTCAGTGTATAGGTGTCTGCGTGAGGTCACCTGTCTGTTTGTAAATTTATGGATCTCTTTGTGTGCCTCTGGGTGTCCGTGTGAGGCTATAGGTCTCTATGTGAGTCTCTGGTTATATGTCTGAGTCTATAGACCTCTATGTGAGTATATGGGCATCTGTGTTAGTCTATATGTCTCTGTGTGCATCTATGGGTCTCTGTGTGAGTCTATGGGTATTTGTGTGAGTTTATCGTTATCTGTGTGAGCCTATTGGTATTTGGATGAGTCTAAGTGTGTCTCTAAGAGTATATGGGTCTCTATATGATACTATGGTTTTCTCTTTAGTCTATGGGTTTCAATGTGAGTTTATGGGTCTCTGTGAGTTTATTGGTGTCTGGGTGGGTTTATGGGTCTTTTAATCTGTGGGTCTGTATGCGAGTCTATTGATCTGTGTGAGTATCTAGATGTCTATATGTGCGTCTTTGGGGATTTGTGTATGTCTATGTTTTCTGCGTGAGTTCATAGGTTTTTATGTGGGCCTCTAAGTCTGTGTGAGTCTATGGGTCTCTGGGTGAGTTTATGGATCCGTGTGTGAGGCAATAGATCTGTATGTGGGTATATGGGTGTGTGTGAGAATCTATGGGTCTCTATGGGAGTCCATAGTTGTCTGAGTCTATATTTCTCTATGTGAGTCTATGAGTATCTGTGAGTCTATGGGTCTTTTGTGTGAGTTAATCGTAATCTGTGTGAGTCTATGGATCTCACTGAGTCTATTCGTGTCTGTGTGAGTCGATGGGTCTCTGTATGTATTTATGGATCTATTTGTGAATCTATGGATGTATCTGTGAGTATATAGTTTGAGTCTATGGGTCTCTGCGTGAATCTACGGATCTCTGTGTTAGTCTATGAGTGTCCGTGTGAGTACGTGGGCGTCTGTTTCAGTCTATGGGTCTCTATACGAGTTTTTTGGTCTCTGTGTGCGTCTGTAGGTCTCTGTATGCGTCTATTGGCCTTTGTGTGAGTGTATGGGTGTCTATGTAAATCTATGCATCTCTGTGTAATTCTATGGGTGTCTGTGAGTCTGTATGTGAGACTATGGATGTCTGTGTCAGTCTATGGGTCTGTGTGAGTATTTGGGTCTTTGTGTAAGTCTATGGGACTTTGAGTCTATGGGTGTCTGTGTGAGTCTGTGTGCCTCTGTGAGACTGTGGATGTCTGTGTGAGTCAATGGATATTTATGTGAGTCTGAGTCACTGTGTGAGTCTATTGGTCTTGATGTGAGTTCATGGGTGTTTGTGTGAGTCTATGGGTGTACGTGTGAGTCAATAGGTCCCTATATGATTATATGGGTCACTGTGTGAGTCTATGAGTGTTTGCGTGAGTTTATAGGTATCTGTGTCAATCTATTGGTTTCTATGTGCGTCTCTGGAATTCTTCATGCGAGTTTATGGATCTTCATCTAAAAGTATAACATTTATCCTAATTAATAATGGGAATAAAAAAATATATGCACGCATATTCTGGGCAGTTGTCAGATGAAAAATAGCTTCAAAGCCCTCCTGCAGTATCGATAAACATTCTGATTCTAATAAATAGTGGTTGGTCATGTGATTAACCAATTGTATCTCTAACAATGTTGCTAAAGTGGTAACCAATTAACACTGATTGCTTCTTCAGGGAGACTCTCAGGATGGTTGTTATTGTGTGGGAGACCGCGCCCGGAGGACATGTCGGTACCAATTCCAGGCAATGCTTCGATAAGACATCGAGATCACTCTACAAGTTGACTGTATGTTCGGCATTATTCGGTGTGCTGGTGTATCTGAGCATTGTCTATTGGGTATGTATACACTTTCATTATCATTACATGACAGTAATACACATATTGAAAGTAATTTATTTGATGGTAAATGCATCGCACACTTTGAAATGCACTTCTGCCACCTGGAACACTCCTTTCGATATTAGGAAGCCACCGGAGCTATGCACTTTTAATCCACCATCTAGATTAAAAACTAATTTCTTTAGAACTGCTTTTGTGATTAGTTTGTTGTCCTTTCCTCGCACATAGAGATGCATAGAGATTTACAGAGATACATAAAGACCCATAGAGACCCATAGAGGTGCATATAGACCCATGGAGACACATAAAGATACATTTAAGCCTACAGAAACACATACAGATACATAGACATACATAGATACACATAGAGATGTAACTTGCTGACTCCCCAGCACCTACTGGATATCTGTAATAATGAGCTTTGTAGCTCATCAGATTCTTCTTCTTCAGTCTAAACACATTATGATTCTGATTCTGAACGGTGTCTTTAGGTTCCCAGGCAGGGTAACTCCCGACTGGCACCACTCTACCACCACCAGCAGCAACCACGCCAACAGCACTACGAAGGTGCCAGCCACGTCCCTCCCCCGTCTCCGGCACACCCGCCATCGCCCGCCTTCGCCCTCGAGGGCCGTCTGGGCTGTACCCCCCTGCAGTGGCCCCTGCCCCTGAATATCGAGCCGCTCCACTTCTCTTCGGCTGAGAGGACGGTGGCGAGGGTCGTGAATGAAAGGCGCAGCGTCGCCGTGGGGGACTCGGTGATGCTCCGCGTGGAGATGATGGACGGCACTGGCCGTCCGAAGGGCTACGGCTGCGACTTCCTCCTGGCTCGCGTCTACAACATGGCCCTCGGCAACGCGGCCACAGGACAGGTTATCTGATCTGCTCTTCTTATCGTGGCCTCTACTACCGTGTGCAGGCGTAACTCTTATAGTTCCGCCACATCTAGCGCTATTTTCTTATAACACGTATTGGTAAAGCAAAAATATAGCACTGTCGGGAACGCATCTCCATTGCAAACATGTCAGAGTGGCCTCCTATACTCTTGTTTCCTAATAACACTCAAAGGTTACAATATATAAAGCTGTTGGGAATGCATCTCTATTTAAACATGTTGTAGTTGACTTCCCATAGCGCTGTTTCTTAATAACGCTCATAGGTAAAACATAGCACTGTTAGGAACGCATCTCCAATGTAACCATGTTATAGTGACCTGCTATAGCACTGTTTTTTTAATCCCCCTCATAGATATAGGGAACCAGTTCCCATAGAAGCCTATGGGACATGTTAAGAGATTGGGAACGGGTTCTCATAGAAAGTCTATGAGGCAATGTTAAGAGAAAGGGAACCAGTTCCTATAGAAAGCCTATGGGACAATATTAACAGATAGGGAACCGGTTCCCATGGAAAGTTTATGAGCCCATGTTAAGAAATGGGGAACAAAATCCCCATATACCCTTAGATAACTTTTTGGGCACGTGCTGTTAGCGAGTAGCACCTATGAAGGCCAGCATGGTACACAAGGGTGTGGGTGTATGTATTATGAAGCTCTTTCACACTGTACGTAGTCAACCGTGCTAATCGGAGGTGCAGGGCAAGGACAAAATCTAAACACAAAAAGCAGGTTAACAGAAATTGGTTTTCAATCTCCATTATTAAAAAATGCATAGATCCAGTGGCTTCCTAATATCAGAAGGAAGAATGTTCGAGATGGCCGCCGAAGTCCATCTGAAAGCGTGCGATGCAGTGACCATCTTTGTTGGTAATGATGGATTATGCCCCTTGACGAGATTTGCAAGCTATTGTGGTTAATTTTTAACAAGCAATTTGTGTGTAATGAGTGTGACTTGATAATGTATTTGTTTTGATTTAAAGCTTTCGTGACTGCAGTAATTCATATTCTTAGTTTTTTCGGTAAAGTCACATTGAAGAGAAACAACAAAATAATAAAATATATATAAAACAATAAAAAAATTCTCACGACGTTTCGACCATAACTCAAACGGTCATCTTCAGGTGTGTTGGTTTGCATAAATTTATTTTTAAACGGCGCATTTATTTATTTATAAAAAAAAACGTTAGCGTCACGTGCAGCGATTTGGCAGTTTACCCAGGACTAGTCCATCTATATTTTGAAAAGAGGAGGGGGGAAACGAAATTTTTTTATAATGTATGCTGTCTGAAAGCCACTGTAAGCGTGAACAATCAATTAAGAACTGAAATGGTTTATCAAATCTTTCCAATGATTGCTAAGATAGAATCCATCTTCTCGGTTGAAATTGTCTCTGTGCTTGTATATGTGGATAGCCTCATGAACGAATCTCTCATGGAAGCCAGATGGCTTACAAAGAACCTCTGTCTTGGAAAAGTCAATGGCATGTGAGCCTACTGAATTAGAACAATGATCTGCTACGGCCGAGGTGTTGGTCCTACCGTGTTTAAGGTCTGCTTTGTGTTCACGAATGCGGTCCGAGACATGGCGTTTGGTTTCTCCAATGTAACTACTACCACAGAGGCAAGTTAGTTTGTAGACACCAGGGTATTGTTAGTCCGGAATCACATCTTTTACAGACGGAACCAGATCACGGATTTTATGTAACGTGTTGAAATGGACCTGGATCTTGTGTTTATTCAAGATTTTGGAGATCTTTTTTGTGATCCCAGCAATGTAGGGTAAAGTGATGGTTTTGAAAGGCTCCTCAAGAGGGTTCTTCTTCATGGTTTGAGTGATAGCTTTGCGGATTGTATAGTCGGAGTAACCATTAGCCCTAAGAGCTTGGTGTACGTGCTTGAGTTCACTGCTTATGTGTTCCTGGTCGGATATGCATTGGGCTCTATGATACAGAGTCTTGATGAGATAATTCTTCTGTGATGGATGGTGGTGGGAATCCGGTTTCAGATAAGCATCCGTAAGGGTAGCTTTCCTGTAGACAGAGTGGCTTATTGAACCATCAGGTCTCTTTTTAATTAGGACATCCAAAAAAGGTATCTTGCCATCTATTTCGACTTCCATGGTAAATCTGATGGCTGGGTGTATGGAATTGATGTGGTTAAAGAATTGGTCTAGAGCAGGCCGGCCATGTGGCCAGATGACAAAAGTGTCATCCACGTACCTCTTCCATAAGGTTGGGCGCAGAGTGGCAGTCTGGATGGCGTCAGTCTCAAATTTATCCATGAAAATGTTAGCTATAACTGGAGAAAGGAGGGAACCCATTGGGGTGCCCTCAGTTTGTTTGTAGAAAGTTCCATTCCAAATGAAGTATGTATTGGTTAAACAGTGTCTCACCAGGGGGGGTACCTCAGTGTTTAGTCCTTGATGAACCAAGTCTTCAATGATTGCAATGGTGTCAGGTACAGGAACCTTGGTGAATAAGGAAACTACATCAAAACTGACAAGCAGGTCGTCTGGGGACAGGGAAATACCCTTGATTGTCGATACCAAGTGAGTAGAATTTTGTACCGCAGAGGTGGTCTTTCCAGTGAAAGGACGCAGGATTTCAGACAAAAAACGAGCTAGTTTGTAGGTGGGGGAGCTGATAGTAGAGACTATGGGACGAAGAGGTGTATCAACTTTATGTATTTTTGGTAAGCCGTATAATCTTGGTGGCCTGGCAGCAGAAGGTTTCAACGAAAACTGTTTAGATTGATCAATTAATGCGGTTGAATCAGAAATTATTTTGTTGGTTTGTGTGACGAGGCTGTTGGTGGGATCTCTTTTTATTTTTGTATAACTACCATCGTCGAGTAATTCTTTAATTTTGTTGTTGTATTCTATTTTATCCATGATGACAGTAGCATTGCCTTTGTCAGCTGAGAGGACTACAATATCATTCCTCTTTTTTAATTTATATAATTCAAAACGCTCATCTTTGCTGAGGTTGCTAGCTGGCATTTTAGCGTTTTTGAGGGTTGCAGCGATTTCAGATCTTGCTACGTCTGCAGCGATGTGACCCAGGCCCCTGAGAGCAACGTCTGCATAAAAATATAGATGACTAGTCCTGGGTAAACTGCCAAATCGCTGCGCGTGACGCTAACGTTTTTTATAAATAAATAAATGCGCCGTTTAAAAATAAATTTATGCAAACCAACACACCTGAAGATGACCGTTTGAGTTATGGTCGAAACGTCGTGAGAATTTTTTATTGTTTTATATATATTTTATTATTTTGTTGTTTCTCTTCAACGTGACTTTACCGAAAAAACTAAGAAAAATGGATTTGTTCTTCAAACAGAAGCCAATGCAGCTTCGCGAGCACAGTACGGAGATGGTCGGATCTGCAATACCCGCCACAACATGTGCCAATAATGTTGTAATAACTGCAGCTTGGCAATGTTTTTTTTATATACGTCCCGTAGCGTAGTGAGATGCTATGATCGATCCTTATCGATACTATGCTACACACCACCATGTTGGCTGTCACACCTCAATCTAACCACAATTTGTTTTACCTGAGTGAAAACGAGCAGAGCCCTCAATTAGTATGGATTATGCATCATTTCATTTTATGCAAACCTGTCCTGTAGCGCTCGTGTACAATCTTTGAGGTTACCAAGGATCTCCAATCAAATGCTGACTTCACTGCAGTATACAATTTTGTATCAGCATATTGATGGAACTTGATGTCATGCGATGAGATGACATTGCCGATTGTCGAGACGTATGTGGAAAATAGGAAGGGCCCAAGGACGAGCCCCTGCGGTACACCGACTAGGCACGACATAGGCATAGACTGTTCGTTGCCTAGCTTGATGAATTGTGATCGACCATGTAGGTATGACTGAATCCACCCCAGTGCCATACCTGATACATCGAATCATGACCTTAGCCGCCCAATGAGTATCTCACGGTCGATGGTGTCGAAGGTGGCTGAGAGATCGGGGCCAACCAATGCACCAGTCATCCATGATCTTGTAGAGGTCATCAATTATATTTAGTAGAGCCGTCTCAGGGCTGTAGAATTTCCGGTTTGCCAACTGCAACGGGTTTAATCTGCCCATCGCAGTGACGTGGGGAAGTAACCTTTTCAGACAAAGGCGCTCTATGACCTTTGAAAGAGTGCTCTGGTTTGAGTTTGGGTCAATGGCTCAAGCCAACTTTTTCAGGAGTGGCGTTACCTGCGCCATTTTAAACTGGTCTGGGAAACAGCACTCGCTGAATGAAAGATTTGGCAGGTGGACAATCAGCACAGGCACGTCCGAGAGCGATTTGAGAATCAACGTGTGGATGTAGGCAGGGGGAGTGGTGGCTAATCACTACGCCACCGCTCCCCTGAGCGGGAATCAAACTCGGGTCTCTACCGGGTTCGCAGTGCATGCTAACTGCTGCACCACTGCTCATTGTCGTTGCTGTGCGCACATGGTGGGGTGTGGCAGGTGACGGACCATGATAATGGCACATACAGTGTGGAGTTCATGTTCTGGTGGGCGGGCGAGAGCCGGCTGGAGGTCAAGGTAGTGCACCACAGTGAGGCCGTGGGCGTCCTGGAGAGGGCCAGAGATTTTGTGATGGACAAAGTGAGCTTCCGAGGCAACTTCGTTTCCGGGAAGGTGAAGAGGACAACTACTTGCCACTTCGTTCTGGATGCCACCACCATCGCCACCAAGGATGTGTGCAGCTACGATGATGATCTCCTGGGCGAGAGGTGGGCCTGTGAAAGGCCGGACAATATGTCATGCGACGCCATGCAGTACCATTCGTCCTACGACAAGAAGCCCAGGATATTTGCCGACGAGAGAAAGGAACTCTTTATAGGGTAAATCCCTTTGGAACTCCATTCTACTCTGGCAGTTCTTCTACCACACTGCTGTTGAGTCTCTGCCGTGTTAATCGGGTGTGTGGGGGAAGGACAACAAACTAAACACAAAACGCATTTCTAAAAAAATGCTTTTCAATCCACAGTTTGCAATCTGGGTCTGTGAGTCTCTATGTAAGTCTATGGGTCTCTGTGTGAGTCTATCGATCTATTTGATTCTGTGGGTCTCTATGTATTTATGTTGAACATCTTTCGCTATCGTGCGTAGCTAACTGTGATAATTGGAGGTGCGGGGAAGGACAACAAACTAAACACAAAACCAACATGATGAAAAAATAATAGGCTTTACCCTTTGCAGCTATGGATGCCAGTGGGGGGTCCCCTTACCTCGAACTCTCCCACGAGTTGAAATGGTTGAGATAAAATCTGATGTAAGGCACCTTGAGTTCCTGATATGTCAAGTGCCCTATACATGTAAAAGCATATCACCATCAGTTGCCGTGATCCATATGAACTGAATTGAGCAGTGAAAGATTCCTTAAACGTAAATGCAGTTGACGCATGCTCGCGTTGTATCGCTTAACAAGTTCTCTTTGAACAAGACTTCGCGATAACAATACATTTTGAATTCAGACCCAGTTTTGTTTTGCGAAACGAGCAAAAAAAAATCTGAGCTGAGTTGTTACAATTCTCGTTTCAGTGAACAGATCTTGCCAATGGATATTGTCTATCAAGTACAAGAGGCATCAGGAAGTGGTACGGACATCCCCAGTCTGCATGCTCGGACTGGCCATGGGCCGGTCGATTCTGACGACTGGCGGGCCTGGTTGGGGAAATGGCAAATGTGATTGAAGTTAAACAATTTTTCTAAAATTTTATTATATACAAAAAACTTTCTAAAATATTTCATGCACCGCAAATGTGTACGCTCCATTGCTTATTTACACTCTCAGTTGGTATTAAGCTGCCAGATATTCGGCAGCCCCAAAGACTATTCCTCATCGGCGGCCCATTTGTGTTTTTGGACTCAGACCCAAATGTGGCCAATAAGGTAATAATGGCAACGTCACGCTCACACGGTACATCGCTAATCTGGCTACGAGTACTACACAGTTTGTTGCACAACCAAACAAAAAAAATATATTATGCATAGCCCGAATTTGGGCCAGTGTGTTTAAAAATGCCTGGGCTAATTTTCGGTCCCAGTCCATCAGTGCCAGTCTGGATGATGTACAGTGATGTTTTGTAGCCACAATCGCTGGCATATGTTTAAATGGAATTAAACTTGACCTGTATTGGTGGTTATCACACTAATAGATCTTATCACACTGTCTCACCACTACCAATAACAACAATAGCCACTATTCGCCACTAAGAATGGTGACGTCACCACGGCATCTGTGCCAGGCCAGGTGCACTTTGAGGCCACGTGAAGTGTCGAGGCTTGCTGACAGGAGGTCACGGGACAGACCCAGGTGCCATCGTTTTACTGAGATGACTGGCAGATGCACCATCTGTGCCCCCTACTCTGTCAGCTACCAAAATCACAACCAGCACCACCATCATCGACAACACCACCACCACCACCACTATCATAAACCGAAGCATCAACACTATCGTCAATAACCACCATCACTACTACGATTTACATCAGCAGCATCAGCAGCAGCAGCTTCAACAACCACCATTATCAGCATCAACACCATCACCACTACGAACATCATCAGCTGGAGCTACAACACCACGATGACCACTAACAAACATCAACATCAGCATGAACACCACCATCATCAGCACCACAACTATGAACATCAGCAGGAGCATCAACACCACCACCATGCCAATGCATTAACAAGCATCGTCATCATCATAAACACCATCAGCAACATCAACACCACCAACATCATCAGCACCACCAGTACAAACATCATCAGCAGAAGCATCAACATCACCACGGCAAAAAACCAACAGCGTGTACGGTGCGCAGGTAACGTGACTGGCACGTCATCATCGATGTCATCGTCGTCTCGGCCCTGCGTTCCGGGCCTCGGCAACCCACGTCCAAACGGCCACTACATCCACAACGCATGGAGGTCCTCGATCTGCGACAACCGGAACTTCGCCACGGCCCAGGAGGTCAGGTCGTGCCTCCAGAGCAAGGACGTCTATCTCCTGGGTGACTCAACCATCAGGCAGTGGTGGGACTATCTGAGAAAGTTTATTCCCGGTAAGGTGTCCCCAGTACTCCCTCCGACTATCGCACCTCTAATTAGCACCCTCCGATTCGAGGCTGTCCCATTAACCAGCCATCGGCCATGCCATTATCACATCACGATGACGAAGGCTGGAGCAGGAACCTGACCATGAATAACTACAGGGCCGATTTCCAATCTGATATTCACGTCGACGCTAATTGAGAGAAAGTGATTTGTCGTCAGCTTGTGGCGTTTCTCTAACTAAACAGCCTCATAAAAGACGCAGTTACTCCTCAATAAAGACAGTTGTCACCGCATCACGCGGCGCTTTCAGATGCGCTTCTGTGCCATCTGGAACACTCTTCCGATAATAGGAAACCACTGCATTCAGATATTAACTTTTAAATCATCATCTAGATTTAAAATTAACTTCTTTACAACAACTTGTTGTGTTTAATTTGTGTCCTTCCGGGCACCTCCGATTAACACGGTTGGCTACGCATGGTATGATAAACAACATCCATACAAATATACAAACACACGGTGGGGGGTGACTGACTATGATAAATAATATATCGGCTTTGTTAATGCCAAAAGGCGAGGAGAACAAGGAAAATGCAAATATACATATAATTAATGGCTCAGGTCAACCAGTTTTACCTGTCAGACTCTGCCAGTAACGTACATTAGCATGATGCATACATTGTCATCAAATTAAAGCAGTGTTTGTTTCATTTGTCCTTGTACTGTTCCCCTCTTGGCGTTGTTGTCTGATCTAACACCGGTGCATAGATCAAGAAGGATGTCGATCTCTCTGGTCTAGGTGAATCAGTGTCAAGGACAATGTGTAACAATGTGTAAAAGTAGTGTTTGTTTACATGTTCTACCACAAGCATGATGTGTAGTTAATGGACATCTGTGAAAAAAGAGCTTCATAGCTCATTGGATTCCTTCTGCTCTCTGAACACAGACTCTGATGCTGATGTATGTCCGTCCATCTTTGTGTGTGTCGCTGCATCTCAGTCCCTTATCTATTTCCACTCGCCATATCTGGGTTTGATCTTCCACGAAGCTCATGGTCCACCATAAACCGCATCCCACTGCACAGATCATGGTTGCAGATGCACAAATAGAAAATAAATAAAAAAACTCTCCAGAAGTGTGCAACTGTGGTCATCTAGTACCCACATGGCAAATTTCAAGTACGCTAAACATTTTGAACAGACACACATATTCACAAATTTCCCTTTTATATATAGATAAATCTGTGAGCCATGCGGCTCTTGACTCGGGTGCAACCACAACCAACAAAAACATGAACAAGAAACATCTTAACGTGACTGCACGCAACAGATAAATCCAGGAAAAAACAGCAAAGTCGTCCAGAAAAAAAACACCGTATATCAACGCTGTGTGCAAAAATCCCAGTGGGATGCAAGTCAAACACTAACAACCATAAGACATTTTAGATTAAAGTTATCAGGCTACCTCCGTACTACAACAAACAAACATGGCTAAACCAAAACGTTTTCAAAATCACCAAAATAAAGCGATAAAAACAATGTAACAGTGATCAACAATATACATAACATGTACGACTAAAATTTGCAGCCATAGCTGGCTGCATGAGTCACTCCATAACAGAAGGAGTATCAGTAGCAGTATCAACATTTTTCAATACACCTTTAAAGATCAGCACACTAAGAAAACTCAAGATCATACTTTGTAGCGGTCATCGGGAACGATACATTTGATTTCAGGCCACTCTGAATAGCAGTGGCAGCTAGGGGTGTACAACTCCTCTAGAGCAGTTTTGAGTTAATATCTCACAGGTTGTGATCCAAGTTGCAGTTTATTGGTGATAGCATTCCAGACCCTGTGAGCATCAATATAAAAGGCCCTTCCTCCAGTGATTATGATTATGATCGCGCGTTGGGTGGAAAGGTTGTGTCTGGAAGTGCATTAAGCATGTTGAATCCAAAAATAAACTTAACTTTTTGACAACTTCATTTTCCAGGTCTACAAATACTGTACTGGACTGGTAGTTATATGTCCTGGTGAGATATGTGCAGTGATGCATAGCACTCATGCATAGTCCTGTCTTTCCTGGATTACCACTGTCCTGCATATATATCGTCTTGCCCGGTAGTTGGCGATGAAATTGAATCCCATAATGTAATTAGTCACACTTGTTATATATCTAACCACTTCGTGGGTATGCCTACAGTGGTTGTCCTATGGATGGACTCGTCCCGTCATAGGAACATGGAATTTCCACTACTTGACTAGTCATGGCTGTTAAACGAGCAGGTGTCATGCAGCTAACTAATTCGTGGGGATGCCGACAATGGCTGTTCTATGGATGGACTCGTCCCGTCATGGGAACGTGGAATTTCCACCATTCGACTAATCAGGGCTGTTAAACGAGCAGGTGTCATGCAGCTAACCAATTCGTGTGGATGCCGACAATGGCTGTCCTAGGGATTGACTCATCCTGCTATAGGAACGTGGAATTTCCACCACTTATTCAGTCAAGGGTGTTAGACGGCACGTGTCATACAGGGAACCACTTCGTAGGGATGCCTACAGTGGCTGTCCTATTGATGGACTCCTCTCGCTCTAGGGACATGGGATTTCCACCGCTTGATCAGGGCTGTTAAACGGGCAGGTGGTCGAAAATCATTCTCACCTTTAGACTCAATAACGATAAAGAATAAACTCCTTATATTTTTTACATCGGTTTTATTATTAACAACTTCGATAAACTCACGGTCGAGAAGTACATCAATAGCACCTGAGACACACGGTGCCTGCTTTTTGTGCGAGGCGATTCCACAGTTTAGGGACCGCGGCATTTTTTACCTACACAAATATATAAATAATAAGGCGTCCATACAAAATGTAAATTGATTTAAAGTAGCGAATTAATTTATTGATGGTTATTTTGATACAGACATGCATTGTCACCGGATCTGAGTACGTGTGCAAAATGTGGAATTGATTGGACAACGGGGAAGTGGACTAAATTTTTATTCCAAGATTTGACCACGACCAACAAGAGGAATCAAGTTAAGTAAAACCGTTGAAAAAATAAAAGGCTTTATTTACCCTTTCCAGTAAGAATACAGGAGGTGTTAAGATGTTTAAATACCAATTATACACCGATTATCATATCAAAGCATCGTAGAGTCTGCATTAACCACACATCTAGCTCGTGGTAAAATGAACATTTCAAGGACAATGCAAACAAACTCGCTTGATAATAATATACGCATTGTCCCTGAAACGGATTGGTCTACACCAGAGCTAGATCCTTCAGTATGCCATTGTCTCTGCACCAGTGTTAGATCAGAGAACAACGCTAAAAGTAGAGCAGTACAATGACGATGGAATTTTCAAAGCATTAATTCTCGGGTTGAACAGTTATATCTATGTGACCATTTCTTGTCAGAACTATCAAGATGATGACTTTGCTCACCAAGTCACTCTCACATGCGCACGTGTGCTGTGTCTGTCCGTGCTACAGATACGAAGAGTTCAGGCATCCTGACTCGGGGCAAGAACCAGCTGAGGATGGCATTGAACACTGACATGAACACCACGCTGCACTACTACTGCCACGGCTATCCCGTGCTCACGCAGTACACGTTCACGAAGGACGTCGAGTACGTCTCAAAGCGAATTGACGCTATCGGAGGAGGGGACGGAGGAGGAGGAGGTGGAGGAGAAGGAGGGCGCGGAGTGGTCGTCGCAATCAGCCTTGGCGCGCACTTTGTGCCCTTCCCACTGGCCATCTTCCGTCGGAGGCTTCTGAACATCAGGGCGGCGCTGCAGAGGCTGCATGCCAGGATCCCCGAGGCCACAGTGGTGGTGAAGCTGGCCAACACTCGTGAGACGGCCAACAACATTGAACTGTACAGCAATTGGAACACGTTTCGCTTCAACGACGTGACACTGGAGGCCTTCGGGGACCTCCGCGTGGCCTTCGTGGATGCATGGGATATGACGGCGGCGATCGGCATGCGGATGGTTCACCCCACCGGCTGGGTCGTCAAGAATGAGGTGGACATGTTTTTGTCCTACGTCTGTTGAGCCTTCGGATCCATGACCGGTCCCTCGCCCTGTGTGTATCAATCTGTGCATGCTCGGTGTGTAAACATCAGCACTGGCGAGACAAAGGCATGGTGCTGGCCACCCACCTCTTGGTGTGCTATGCCGACCTTCATAAGTGCTCGCTAACAGACTGTGAAGGCTATATGTTGGATCTTTGTCGTTGTCTTTGTCGGCTCAGGATGTGTTCTTCGTAGATGGAGTACATTACGAAACAGCGTTAGAGGAGGTCATTATAAATGGTTCCAATGGAGATGCGTCACCTTTGTCGTTGTCTTTGTCGGCCTTCAGAATGCGTTCTTCGTAATAATAATGATGCTGTACACCTTATACATGTATTAAATCATATTATGAATACAAATATGACAATGACAATTGCTTGATGACGATTGCTTGTGTGGCGATCGAAATGTCGTGATCTATTTTTTTTTCTACCTATGTACTTACCTTTGCATTCGGTCTGTCGTAAACGTACGTTCCACAGGAACATATACTACTTGCCAATGCATCAACGCAGTGATTAACTATCGATGAATCAATACTCTAACGTGGCTGTCAGATCGACTGAGCAGAATGAATAAAATAGAAACATCGATTCAGGTTCCACATGATCACATGTGGGCCATGGTGGGGAGCGGTAGTGTAGTGGTTAGCATGCTTTGCTATGAATACAGTGACCCTGGTTCGATTGCCACTCACAGCCAACACCAGTGACGATTATCTGAACCGGTCCTGGGCCTCCCCTAGTCGACTCAGCCTCAAATTAGTACCTGGACCGGTGTGTAAGCAACACCACTTAGGAGACAAAGGCGGTCGGACGTGATTCTGGCCACCCACCCCCTCGTGTACCGTTCTTGCCTTCATAGGTGCTCGCTAGCAGCACTTGCCCCTACAGTCTGTTAAGGCTATACCGGGGATCTTTGTATTTGGTGTGGATGGAGGTTGGGTGTGTAGTTGGGTTAGTTTGCAAGGTGCTGGCAACCTCTCCAAGCTCGTGCTGGAGGCCCCAGGGGACAGACTGAACCCACGTCTTGGCGTAGTTCCAGGAGACTATTGCAGTTGCCAACGTGGAATGTTCAAACTCTCGCCATGGAGGAGAGGCTGCCATTGCTCTGTCAGGATATGGACAAGTATCGCCTGGACCTCTGGAATACAAGAGGTCCGGGGAACTGGTTCTGCTCCGGTCACCATGAGGGGTGGACAGTCCTCCACTCGAGGCATGAAAATTCCAAACAAGAGGCTTCTGTTGCTTCTGAGCAAAATAATGAAGGGGTGTGGGAGCGTGGAAGTGAGGTTTGGGAAGCTGTAAGCCCCAGACTACCGTGGGCTCACTTCCCGATCAACAAGTCGGGAAAGGTGGTGGTGGTTGCTTATTCCCCCACCAAAGATGAACATCAGTCGACAGATGCAGACAAGGCCGATTAGTTAAACGCATTTTATGACCTGTCCCAGATACGAGCTAAAGTGCACCCCCGGGATAGAGTCATCCTGTTGGGTGACTTTAATGGGCAAGTGGGTAATGAAACAAATACCTAGGCCTAAGTGATTGGAAGGCATGGGCCAGATCAGATCAACAACAACAGTATGAGGCTACTAGACTTCAGTGCAGCCCGGGGCTTGTAATTACGAACACACTGTTCCAGCATGAGCGCATCCACACAGCAGCCTGGATGCACAAATATCTGATCAACTATATACTGATGGAACAGTGGATGCAAGCCCATGTCCTTAACACGACACTAGGACCTGCTATGGAACTGATCTGTCCATTGACCGTCGGATTGACATCTGTAAGATGTCTGCCTTCCACTCTGGTAGTGTCCAGTTAGGACCATATTCAAACCCACAATAGCCTGGTCTCAGCTAGCTGAAGATAGTTGCAAGTAGGAAGTTCAATATTACTTTGAGCTGGGGTTGGCATCGTCCCCCCCTCTTCCTGATGCTGAGGGGAAATGGGTGAGGTTCAGGACTGTTACTCATGCAGCCGTAATGGCTGCATTTGGTGGGCAGTCCAGACCTCCCCAGAAACCCTGGCTGAAAAAGGAGGTGGTCCAGCTAATTGAACGAAAACGACAGGCCCACTCCTATCGTCTACATATCGCAGAATGAGGAGGCTTACCGCTGCCTTTGCTCGGAGATTCTGAGAGCTGTGTGGTGCTGCAAGGATGAATGGTGGTCGCGGGTTACTGTGGAGATGGAATCGGTCTCGGTAGCCCACGATCACAAGTCACTTTTTAATTACATAAAAAAGTAACTTACAGTACGTCACCTATCACCACCCTTCACGGAAAGAACAGTGATCTGATCTTAGACCCCCAGGAACAGGTCTGCAGGTTTGCAGAGCATTTCTGTGAAGTCTTGAGGGAGGGGAATTCTCTCATCCCAGATATCATGAGGCAAGGTGGGGACGACCCTGCTGAGACTGCTGTTCCTCAGAGTAGCAGGCCAAAGTGAAATCTATTGAAGTACTAGGGACGATCCGCAGTCTGAGACCAAGGAAATCAACTGCTGAGGGAGGGTGGAATCTGTGTGCAGACTGTCCTACATTACATGATCACAATATTCAGCACCACAAGACAGGTTCCACAGGATTAGAAAAATGCCATCGTGGCTCCCCTCTTTAAAAAGGGGGGGGGGGCACACAGACTGTAATAACTACGTGGAAATCTCCCTCAGTGTGCAGGAAAATATTCTTGCCAGTCATGCTGAGGAGAGGCTTGCGGAGCCCCAATGTGGTTTCAAGCTTGGGCGGTCCTGCACCTCTGATTAGAATGGTTGGCTCCATACAGTGTAAAAGAAATTAAACATATTTTCTGACTTTAAAACCCTGCTGCTTCAACACTTTAACACAGCTATTTCAATGCTAAATTTCAAGTAGTGGTATACCAATCATATTGCTTCCGAACTTTCTATTAAACCCTATTTTGCTACTCCCCCCTTACAGCACATTCTTGCCGATTTTTCATTTTTCTATTTTCCGTTTCTATTGCACACACACAGTGACGCATCACCCTCTACACAACAAAAAGACGGATTAACTCAGCTCCGCACCCCACCAAGGTCCCCTACATGGCTCCTCCACCCCCCTCCCCCCCTTAACCTGCATTTAAGCTTTTCTATTTCCCCTGTTTTCTACTCCCCCCGTTACAGCACATTCTTGCCGAACTTTAATTTTTTTAATTTGTTTCTTTCTATTGCACACACACAGTGACCCATCCCCCGCAATCTCTACACAACAACAGGATGCTAATCTTCCAGTTACATGCCAGTTTTCTGACTTTAACACCCTGCTGCTTCAACACTTTAACACAGCTATTTCAAGGCTAAATTCTCCTGTTTGATATGTAAACTCCTTTGTCAAGGCGCTCTGCTCCTCCCACCGAGCTTAAAAAGACGCTGCGAATATTAGCAGCGTTTATTGAAGTGCTGTCGTCTCGAGAGTTCTGTTCCTTCACCTGAAGAAGGCCACTTGTGTTGTGGCCGAAACGTCGTGATTTTTTGTCGTTTTATTTTTTACCTACGTGACTTTACCGAATAGAACCAAAGAGTATGGATCCTTGCAGTCACGAAAGCTTCAAATCTAGGTCCGCTGTCTGAGCGTCGTTGTGTTTCGTTAAATTCTCCTGTTTGATGAGTACTAGGTGCCTCGGCGAATGTATATGCTCTGACTTTAATGTAGCTATTTCTGTGACCAGTTACAAGCTAATCACTCAGCTATTTTAATGCTAAATTATATGCTAATTCCTTTGTCAAGGCGCTTGGTGTTTTTCTTCTCACACAGCTTAGAAGTCGTGATCTAAGCGTGGCTTCTCCCATTCCAGCGCTGTCCTCCAGACAGTCTCGTCCCTTCACCTGATGAAGGCCGCTTGTGTTGTGGCCGAAACGTCGTGATTTTTTGTTATTTTATTTTCACCTACGTAACTTTACCCAATAGAACCAAAGAGTATAAACTCTTGGTTTTTCTTAATTTTAGGGTCCATGAATCTAGACTCACAATCAATATGGACCTGCATGATGGTCGGCAGGCCTGGGTAAAGTTAAATGGTTGGGAATCAGAGCCATTCCCTGTTCACGTTGAGGTGTGACAAGGTTGTCTTCTGGCTCCTATATTATGGTGCATCATCTTCGACCACTTAGCTTTAGAAGCCTTTCATGGCTGTACCAGATGAATTGCCATCTGGTACAGATACAATGGGAGGCTGATCGATGCATGGGTGTGGTTAAAGAATGTTCGCTGATTAACTGGAGGTCGCTTCTGTCTAGACATGCAGCAGAAACAGTAGAAACGTTACTTGCCGATGTGCTTTTCATTTTATTAGCCACAATTAACAGGGTGTCTTAGGTAAACATCCACACAAACACTCGAGAATAACAAAAGCTCCATGCCAGGTCATACCAGAAACATGACTGACACTGTTCAAAGATGTTGGGAGTCGTGTCAGAAGATGCGTCGTACATCGAGTTCCTGCGTCGTAAATCGATCCGTGGTGGCGTAAATCTGAAAGTCTTAAATCGGAGACACCTGTATTTAAAAAGTACAAGTTTCCCTGGAACCTAAGTGGAGAAAACTATGTAAATAAACCAATGAAGTTGTCTAACTGGCGTTTTTTCATCTGGCAATTATCGAACCTTTATGAGAACATATGACACTGGGTATCCGCCCACCTCAGTGTTGAGACTAAATTATTCATAAATCTGAAACGGCTCCTGGGCCTGACTTAGGCCTAAGCTGTGTCAGCTACAGCTAAGGGCCTCACAATATGAGGGGTTCTCTAAATACAGCAACAAAAATAATACGAAGTTTAAAGTTGTACATAATCGGTTGAGAAATAAAGATGAGACAGGGAGAGAGGTAGTCTATTGGTGCCCTACGTACCAGACAAATATCCGAGTTCGAATCCGGCTCATGGCTACCACCACCATTACCACCACTAACACCAGAATCTAAAATCTTAAGCTTTTTTCACAGTTGTCCAGTAGGGGCAGGTCAGAAAGTTACAACAAACAATCAAAATAGACAAGAGGAGTGCAAAGTATAGGAAAGACAAGCAAATCCACTGAACGATTAGATTATTTTTTAGAAGCATGTAGCATAGTATCGACAATGCTTGATTATTGCAACTCACTACCCTCCGGGATATCTGTCAAAAACATTACCTAGCTGCAGCGTGTACAATCATCTTTGGCACGTGTCATGTTGCCGAATGAATTCATTATGGGGGCGCACACACTGCACACAAAGTACTTGCCAAAAATGGACCACAATACCTTACTGATCTTGCCAAAGAGCATGAATCATCACGCAAGCTCCGGGTATCTTCACAGAGTAGCTTTTGGTTTTCCATCGAGCAAAGATGGTCACTGCATCGCGCGTTTTCAGATGCGCTTCTGCGGCCATTTTGATTGCTCTTTCTTTTGATATTAGGACGCCACTGGAGCTATGCACTTTTAAATAATCTAGATTGAGACCTTATTTATGTATAATAGCTTTTTGGGCGTCGTTTGTTGTAATTCCCCCGCATCTCCGTTTAGCATAGTTGGCTACGTAGAAGTTCAACATACATACATGCAACACAATCAAAGACAACAATTGCCCGTATAGCCTGAACAGACTGTTGGTGCAAGTGCTGTTAATGAGCACCTATCAAGGCTGGAAGGGCAAATGAGAGGGTGGGTGGTCAGCACCACGCCCGGCCGCCCTTGTCTCCCTAGTGGCGATGTTTACATACGGCACCAGGAACTAATTTGAGTCTGAATCGACCTAGGGGAGGAGGCTGAGAACAGGTTTAGATAATCGTCACTGGTGTTGGCCATGAACTGGAATCTAACTCGGGTTACCAGGTTTGTAGTGCAGTACGCTAACCGCTACACTACAGCAACCCAACACCATCACCACCACTAACGCCAACACCATCACGAACACTATCACAATCACCACCATCACAATTATTTTGCAATGTATCGAGCCAACCGTGCTAATCGGAGGTATGGGGGAAGGACAACAAACTAAACAAAAAGCAGTTCTACGGAAATGAGTTTGCCAATCGAGATGATTTTAAAGTGCATAGCTCTAGTGGCTTCCTAATATCAGAAGGAAGAATGTTCCAGACGGCCGCAGAAGTGCATTTGAAAGTGCGTGATGCGGTGACCATCTTCGTTCGATGGCCAGCTAAAAGCCACTGTTACTGCGAGGATGACCGGAGTTCGCATAATGATAGTTTATGTTCTTTGACGAGATCAGCACGCTATTGTGGTTCATTTGTGGCAAGCACTTTGTGTGTAATGAGTGTGACCTTATAATGTATACAGAATGTAGGTATAAAGACTAAACATATATAGTGATAAAAAAGTACTTTCCGTATATTTTTCCCCTTAATTTATCATTGTTTCATTGTGCGTTTAACATCATGTCAGAAGCCAAATAATTACATTGAGAAATTGTAATGGATCCTTACTCTCTAAAGCTAAACCAGTTCCACTCCGTGAGTCTGAGTCTATTTATCTGTGAAAGTCTATGGGTGAATCTGTCAGTAGTCACGTCTCTGTGAATATGTGTTTCTATGTCAATCATTGCTGACTCGGTTGCTAAGGCAGCAATTTATTATTTGAATTCTTGTAAAGCGACAACATTTATGGGCGGGTTTAATTAAATTGTAAACAGAGGACAAAACCACATTTAACAGACAAAGCTTCAGGGAGAGACCAGGACAGCCTGAGATCGGGTTGTCCTAGCCAAGCGAGGATTTTTTTTATAGCTTTACACGGAACTAACACGGTATATAGGTTCAACAGAATCTCTATAATTTGTTGGTATCTATGGGTGAATCTGTCAGTAGTCACGTCTCTGTGAATATGTGTTTCTATGTCAATCATTGCTGACTCGGTTGCTAAGGCAGCAATTTATGATTTGAATTCTTGTAAAGTGACAACATTTATGGGCGGGTTAAATTAAATTGTAAACAGAGGACAAAACCACATTTAACAGACAAAGCTTCAGGGAGAGACCAGGACAGCCTGAGATCGGCGTTGTCCTAGCCAAGCAAGGATTTTTTTTATAGCTTTACACGGAACTAACACGGTATATAGGTTCAACAGAATCTCTATAATTTGTTGGTATCTTAAACATTCACTCTATGAGTGTTGATTGTTTACACTGGAAAGCCTCTCGGTAAAATTGCTGCCTTCGTTAAAGATGATTGGGAATGGTTGACCAGACTTCTGGCTTCTCTAAGTTGGGGTCTTGCATTCTCCATCTTCATCCAAGCCTGTCCGGTGCAACTTAAAAGCTGTCTCACAAAGACAGCAGTCATCGATAAGTGACGGTATGAAATCATCAGTGCAAGATTCTCTCAAAGATACATAGTTAATACAAATGCGAACATAGTCCATAAAAATACTCTACTCCTCCCGCCAACCTCTAAAGCCTTTAGATATTGTTTTGGCAAGTGCTATTTGCAAGCACCTATTAATGCTGGCATGGCCAAATAAGTGGTTTTGTCGCCAGCATCACACCCGATTGCAATTGTTACTTCATTATGCATTGTATTACATACACATTCTTTATATGACACACCCATGGTGCTGTTAAAATACTGACGTGTGTGAGTGAATTATTCAGTTAGAGCAGATCATATTTTGTGTTTCTTACTCTTACCTGTTTGAGGGGCTCTGGATGCATCTTTCTAACTCTCTTCCTCCGATATTATTCAGTAGAATTACTTCACGATGCCTGTAACGGCAGAAGTGGACACACATCGTTCACACATCACCACCTTGACTTACATCGTGCCTGTCATTGGATGGGGATCGAACCCAGATGTCCCAGCTGCCAAACACTTCCATAGAATAATTACAATAACATTTACTCCGTCTATCATTTTGCTCACCTTTATTTAAGCGTGTGCGAGCCCATTGAGATTCATTATGTTTTATGATTGATACGCCTTAACTAGGATATATTTAATTCATATTGCTCATTAAAACTGACGCCCTTTACCTAACTGTGTTAGAAAACATCGAGATTGATTATCTCTAATGATTGACGTCCTTAATCGTTTTAAGTAATAAATCATTTGAAAACGCATTTCTTGAGAACTGCTTTTTGTGTTTAGTTTCCTGTCCTTCCCGCGCACCTCTGATTAGCATGCTTGGTTGCGTACGGTGCAAAAGAAGTTCAACATACATGCATACTTTGCGATCCTGCAATTACAGCAAAGCATAAACTACAATGAAATGCAAATTAAAATGACAAAGTTACATATAGTAAACAATTATATCCGAGCAAGCCTTATACATTTGATACGGCCATTATGAGCTGTGTGCTATTAACCACTCTGTACTATCAGTGCAGGTGCAGTCAGTACTCACGGGGCTGCTGTTCTACAGATTACTGAATGCCAGTATTTTCTCTTCCAGCAAATATAAATGATAATAAGGACTGCAGCATGGACTCCAAGGGTGATCGTAATGATGGCTCTGTAATGCAGCTTGCCATATGGCACATCTGTTGTTGGCGTGGGAGTTGTGGTTGCAGTGGGAGTTGTGGTTGGAATGGGTGTTGCCGATGTTTGGTCTATTAAAAACAAAGGCACACACAAGCACGTACACTTACATACACAGGCAACGTGCAATGCGGCTTTCCAAGTGGGGCTCAAAACAAAATTTCACACATTCCTCTAAGCTGCAGAGGGTATATGTAGAAAGATTGTAACAGGAATGGCACCAATCTTGAAAAACGTGTTAACTATACTACTCACATACCAGATTTCATCGCAGATCGCCCATGCCTTCCTAACATTTGACTCAACTCAAAATAAAGTTTACGTTACTGTACCAATTGAGCACATCTAACCAATGTCTAAATTTACTTAAATTGCCTGAAAAATGAGGCTAAACACATTATTTGTATTTATAACATTTGCCAAATGGCATAGCCTTCTTGACTTTTATTCACAATTGCCTTGGTGCACAACCTATTTTTACAACAAATGACGACTCAATATGAGCCTCGGTTGGTGACTGATTCTAAAGTGTTGGGCATTGTGTTAATCCCGTTATGTCAGCACGTTTAAGGAAAATTGTACCATCCATCGTAGTTTGACCTGAACTACCAAGTGGCAGTCCCTTATAGATCGAGGGCTCAAAAGAAAATAAAACTCGATCATGTTATAAATCGATAACCACGCCTCCCACGAACTAAACCACTCAATCCAACACTCACCAATCACAACAATAACTATTTACTGGGTATATTTTTAAGCAATAAAATATACTTGACAAATATAAAATAAATATACGAAACAACGTAATCACATTTTTATAAACAAACGGTAATATAAATCCCAGAAAATGCAATGCAACAAAACAGTTTTAAATACCACCGATGGTGCAGGCATGTTATTGGCTGTGAACATTGTGAGGGCATGAGGCATCATTTTTACAGGAAAGAGATGGTCGTGGTTGGGGTCCAGTTAAGGGTTGATGGAAGGCATCGGTACATTAATTCAGGTCGGTTGAGAAGGGCTCCGAAAAACAATAAATAGCCTGGTTAATGGCTCCTTCAGCACACCTTCCAGAAGCTCCCTATGAATGTGTTCTGTGTTGAGAATACTGAATGCTGGACTCAATTTGTAATGTACTATCACTTGTTTCGCATCTAAATCAAGAAATGTTACTCCTGTGAAACTAGTTGTCACTTAATGTTGCAGTGAAATTGAGATGTATTGTGGAATGTTTGAAAGCTGCATTTTATTCATATAGACTTCATTGTTTTTCTCATATCTTACAATCATTGAATTTAAACAGACATTGCGATAAACTGTTCAGAATACTTTTTTTCTGTCTTTCTCAATGAATAATGCACCGTAGAATATATTAATTACATTTCATGGAATAATTTTGTATTATAGTACTATTATTATAGGTTTTATTTTTTAACAATGTATGCTAAGTTGTATTACAGGATGTTAAATTATTTGGACAAAACATTTCCCAAAGCCAAAAATTGAGGAAGACCCCACAGTGCGTAAGTAGTACTAAAAGGGGTCATTGCTGTGTCATGCACTGTGTAACGCACATTACAAATGAACAACTTCAAATTTCAGGCATCCTGCCTGAAACACTTTAGGCTATTCAGGGACAACTCAATGTCAGAGGAAGAGTCTAAATTTTCACGTCATAAATTTGAGGTCATCGCTTGCAAACTTTAAAGTAAAAACCTGAACATAATTGTCTCAAGTTTTCTGGCCTTGAAATTGAGGCTTGTTCCCCTGAAATTTGAGTTGTCCCTTAATAGTCTGAAGTGCTTCGGCCAGTATACCTGAGAGTTTCAGGAAATTTCCCGAAACGTTTTAAGAGTGTATTTTTCTGTTAATCTGCCACAACAATGTTAACTGACCTGCCATGTATTGCCTATACAGGCAGACCTCGCTTAGCACTTAAGATACGTTTCTGGAGAAGTGAGTACTAAACGAAGTAGTACTAAAAGGGTCATTACAACAATGTATGCACGGTAAAGCGTTCGTTATTTATTTCTTATGAGCAATATATCAGGTCATAATTTGGGTATCGGTAATCACCCTAATAATAATAACAATAATACAGGTGATAAACTTTATTTCACACCATATGAGAATAGGTTTTCCCTTTTTTCTGGCAACAAAACAGGTGTTAAGATGTTAAAACACCAAACTGAAACCATATACAAGGAATCATGTCTGCATTAACCACAATACTTGTGGTCAGAATGCAAACAAAAAACATACTCTAATAATATATGCATTACTCTTTGTCTTTGAAACTGATTGGTCCACACCAGACAGCTTTTTTTCGAGCCTAGTCTCAAACGGTGTTAGACCATGAAAATAATGGTGTATTAAAATATCAGTATGATGCACTCTACTCACATTCTACTGCACTTTCACAAGGCAGCAGTGTGAGACAAGGTTTTAGGAGCTGCTGTGCTCCCATTCTGGGTCTTTCTCAGTGATAAACCCCAGCACCTCCGTGACCTTAGTGGTGCCCTCAGTCAAAATTTTTGTGGGGAGGTTTATTTTTGGTGGAGCCTGATACTCTATTTGATCTCGTGAGAAGACAAATATGCTCTATCAGCCAGCCGCTCGCCTTGCACATGGCCCACCACAGATCACCACCAGACTAACACTGAGAAGTAAAAAAAATCGATGAAAGTTTATCGATTATTTTTTTTTATTTTTTTGTGACTATGAGTGGGGTCTGGTCGGCTGCCTGCAGCTAGTAGGACCTATCTTGACTTTCCTTCTCCTTGAAGTCAGAAATTGCCTGGCAGAGGATGTGGCGCCATTGAGGTCGGTTGAGGGCTTGCCCTTACCAGCTTGTGATGTCCACGTCAGTTTTTTTTAAAGATATCCTTTCAGTGTGTCTTTGTAGCAATTCCTCTGACAAACATAGGAATTCTCACTGCAGGTGAGCTGGGAGTCGACGGCTTGTTTGGTGAGATGAGAATTCGGCATCCACACAAACAATATCTGGTCCAGCGAAGTTTGTGCGTGAGGATCATTACCTCGATGCAGGTGACAATTGGCTTCAAAGAGGATAATCGAATTTTTCCACTGGTATTCCCACTCGATGTGATGAATCTTCCAGAAGCATCGTTTGGCAGTACCTCTCCAGATTGGTTTCACTAAATTGGTTTCACATCCCTCAAGGAATATAGGGATGATGACTGCATTATACACCTGAATCTTGGTATTCTTCCGTAGGTCACAGTTCCGTGAGAACACGTTGTATAAGTTTTGAAAAGGAAGCACTTGTATGCTGGATCCTGTGATTCATTTCAGTGTCCATGTTGGCACTTTGAGAGAGATGACAAGCGAGGTAACAGAAGTCCTCAACTGTCTCCAAAGAATGTCCTCGATGGTGATCTGTGGTGGGTCATGTGCACGGCGCGAGGCAGGCTGATCGAGCATCTTTGTCTTCTCGATGTTACATGAGAATCCTAGGCTTTGGTAAGCTTGTAAAAAAGGATCCAATGTGGACTGGAGGTCAATCTTTGTACGTGCGAGATTGGCACAGTTAACTGACGATACAGAATGAATGCCTTGGATACTTTCGTTTTGAGCAGAGACAATGAAGATTAAAAAGCTGCCCATTCATTCTCTATCGGCTGCCAATTCCAGTGAGAAACAGTCTTTAACGTGAACCAGAATGACTGCTAAGAAGATATAGAACAGTGTTGGAGCAATAACACCTCCTTGCGTAACCCCAGTTTTCATTACGAATGAGCTCCTTTTCAGTACTAATAGAGAAAACAGTGGCATTCATCTGACCGTGAATATGCCTTAGCAACTTAATACATTTCGTATTGAAGTTAAATCTGGCCAGTACCTTCAATAGGGCGTTACAATTGAATCAAAATCATAATCTGTATATTTCCTGAAAAAATCCAATGAGCTATGAAGCTATTTTTCAAAAATGTCCAGTAAATTTACATGAAGCCTTGTAAAGGGCCATTGTTAAATTGATGAAGACCATGTACAGGTTCTGATTGTGTTCCCGACACTTGTCCTGGACTTAGTAAGCAATGAAGATCATATAAGTGGTCCCGCGTGATGGCCTTGACCTGCACTGAAATTCCGGCAATATTTTCTCTGTGAGAAAATTCCCTGCAGTAGGAATCAAGGCAGATCAAGCCAATACCTTGATAATGTCCACATTCCAATGTATCTCCTTACTTACATATTATAACAATGATTGCATTGTATCAAGTCCTCCGGAACCTTGTCATTGTACCAGATTTGAAGAATGTTTGTGGAGCATCTCTATCAGTTCTTCACCTCCGACCTTGTAGACTTTAACTGGTATGCCATCTGGTCCTGCAGACATGTTCTACTTGGCTTGTATGATAGCACTTCTTACTTCTTTGAAGACAGCGGGGAGGGGGAGGTTAGCGAGAGGGATGGATTCAAATAGTGGAATCAATGACTCACGGTACAGTAGTATTTCGAAATGCTCCTTCCATCTGACTTCATTTTAATTAAGGAGCATTGACCAATAATTGGGCTCAACGTGGCGTGGGACCATAGGTGCTTGGACTGTAAATGACCCTTGTAGCCTAGAATAAAGCTCCTAATGACATGTATATCAGTGTGAAGCTCGATCGTTTTGTCCTTTTCTTGCCACAACTTGTTTTTAATATGTATTTTTTGTTTGGGCTACAACATTGATTTGCTGGTTTGACTGTTTCTTCTGCTGGTGTCAGATGTTATTTTTCCATATACGAGGGGATTACATTTTCTAGTCGGGCAGGTTCTGCATTTTAGAATAATTCTAATCAAACCAATCTTGGTTCGTACTTCACGCTCGTCTTTTGGGCTAGCAAATCCGATTAGCAAGGTTGACTACATACAGTGTGAAAGCTCAACATACATACATACATATCTCGTGCTTAAGAAATATCAACCCTCACCTCAACACTGCAATGAGGGTATACCAGTCTGTGGTGATATTCCAAAGATATTTCACCATGTGACTGTGGATATGGTAACCAAAGGAACACAATTTTAACTCTTGCCTGTAAAAGATGCGTTACAGGAAAATTCGAGAGTATCAGGAAAACCACCACCATAAGTTATTATGTAGCTCACGAACCTCAACTTTCAAGTTTAGCTTTTCACCCATAACCTCGTAATATACCAGAAGAACGACTCAACTTCGGACATCTGTGGCACCCTTTCGTTGCTGTGATCTTGGCATTTTGGACCTGTCAGCCTTTGCTTTAATATAATGAAATGTGATAACTCATCATATGTTTTTGATTATTTCAAAGCAACCCTAGTAGTGTGGTTACATTGGTATTTGTGTTGGTGGTAATGATATTGTTACTGCTAATGATGATGATGATGCTTACAGAGTATTAGAAATATGAGAAGATGACACCGGTCCATTATTTAATGAATGCAGGTCAGGATTCCTGTAAAAGAATACAAAACAAATTAACAGACACCCAGATCTTCATTGTACTGTGTAGCAGGTGTGGACTTACCTGTGATGAATCGCACATACAATTGATCACTCAACAGCATGTCAGAGTCCCCCTGTGGAAATTGAGAGTTTGGTATCTTGCTGCTGCATTTTACGTGTTCGGGTGAAAATGACACGTGAATTAAGGCATAAAGTGCACCATACAGTTACTATCAGTAAGGTGAAGTATCACGTAATGCATAGTAACTCAGGGATTGCAACCTAAGTCACAAGTACACATTAGGCCACGCCCAGACAGCAGCTTACAAATTCATTTTGAAAAGGCTGAAGATGGGTAAGCGTGCATTGTCTTGGAGCTTAGGTGTACATTTTAAAATTAATAATAATACACTTTAATGATAATTATGAGACATCAATGTTAATTTACTGTTAGCTAATTGGCTAATGGAGGTTAATTTATGTATAGTTACATTTTATATGAAAGTTGATTTTAATAATTTTATATATAAAATAGCTGTGGCATGTGGGATGATGCTGTGTCTCTTGGTAACAGTTGAAGGCACGATTTGTTATTTTAAGCATTTTCTTTGTTTTTGCGTGATTTACCGTTTTTGGCACAGCAGTGTAAAAGGAAATGGCGTCAGCGACCTCATTGTCAGATCAGATCAGATATGGCAGCATACGGCACGACAGCGCATTGCCACATCCAATTCGAGGTGCCAGCCATCTGGATTCCCCTTGGCGACCTCCCAACCCAACGTCCTTACCATGCCCAACCCTCAATAATGGTCATCCATCTGCTGAAGCCATGCAGCACATAATCACCCTCTTCGTCTCTTCCACCTCCTTATGGCTGATGCCATTTCAGCACAGAGAAGCTGGTTGGTAGGTTATACCATTCGGAAACACGTGCCACGTGCACGTTTATCAAGGAGGTCATTAGTCCCATCTCAGCTTCCACGAGTATGCTTTAGTTTGAAATAAAGTCAACCCACCAATATCCCCGAATTCTTATGAAGGATTTTGTGACAAAAGAGTTCAGTTTTAACTTCAATTACTTATTAAGTATCTATACCTGTCAACCCCTTATCAGTGCCTACTTTATTACAGATCAATTCAAATCTTATTGGTCACCCCGTGTCCTTAAATATCTCAGCGTTCATCCTATAAAGTCCCATCATAAGGGAGAAACAAACAAATATACATATGTTGGCCTGTATTGGATCGGCTGTACGCCGTATGGACCTAAAAACGAAATTTCCTTGTAAATGAATACAGGCAAACCATATGGGTTGACAGGTATGAGTATTTAAGTCTCTTCTCCGTAAAGGACGACTATCGCTTTGAAGACCTGAACCTGTAACCTCCAGTCCAGATGATGGCATTGCCAGACACTATGATTGAACGTTTCCATGGCCTCTTTTCCACGTATTTGGACGTATTTAGACTTCTGGGCCTGGCTCACAGTGCCATGGAAATTATTTGGACGTGCGGGAGTCTTTGGACCTCTGTCTCTGAGCTCCCATTATCCTGAATAACACTACCTGGTAAGTGAATCTCTTCATCACTTCTACATTTTCGCTCACTTTGACTGGCCATATAGCTTAATCCACGGAGTGACAAAATGCCTATATTTTGTCTTCATCCAGCAGACCTGTAATCCCAAAGGTTTTAGTTCCAGTTCCAGGATCTCAGGAGCTATAACAAGGACTTTGAGAGACTCAGCAAAAATCACAGTATCTTCAGAAAAGTATGTAGTTCTACCAGTAGATGGGGCAGCATTGAGTAGTTGTTAAAAAATACTCAGCCCATTATTCTCGTTCTGATAAGAGCCTTCTATCGCTTGCATTGATTGAGGTTCCCTAGTACTGAGGCTTTGCACGTAGACGTTGTAGGGCTAGGTAAGCAAGTCTAGGGTTGCCATTCCACAGGCGACCCTCTACCTCCCCTCAACCCATCACCCAAGAGGATCTCACCTCGCCACTCAGTTTCCTGTGCGCTTCCATCTTACCATTCAGTCTTCTTGTGTGGCTCTTTTCAATGGTCTTCAGCATCTCTACAGATGTAAAGTGATGTTTTTTGGAAAGTTTCACTCCAATGCATTATTTCAGTGGTTCTTAACTTGGGGGGCACGCCCCCCCTCAGGGTGCGAGAATGCAAGATTGTTTTAGAAGTCAGGATCCTGCGATTCTCAGCCCTCTTTCCTTTGCAAAGTCTGGGAGAATCGAGCCAATGGTGTTCTGTTTAAAAGCTTCATGGGGACCCAATACAAATTTATAGCCAGCTCAATTGATGCCACCGAATATATTAAAGTCACACAATGTGGCCAATGGATTAGTGTAGAAATGTTCCTTCTCAAGATCACTCTCTTCGGTTGGAGCGTACGCTGAAATGCAAGAGATGCATTCCAAGGAGTGCCTCATTCTCATGTACATTAAACCCTAATCAATGGCCTGGATCTTCTTTACTGGCAGGGCCAGCCGTGAGGAGATTGAAAATGCTATTCTTCTCCGATGCACGCCCCCAGCGTATCCAGATCAGTGGAAGGTGAAGCTACCTACACTTAAGAAGTTCAACATACGTACTACATCTCTCCAATGCCCGGACGGTGCACCTCGGACAGAGCGTCCACTTCCACTCTGATGTCACGCAGCTCCCTCGCCAGTAATGGTAGCTTTCCATCGTCTTTTACGGTTAGTAGGTTCCAGGAGCCAAATCGGATGTCCTGCTTCAGGTCTACCCTAGGGCGAAGCGCATGAAGTGGTTGTTTCCTTAGCATCAGTTTGGCAAGACGAGTCCCCACCTGCCGACAAGTGATCATTGGCGTGGGTGGCGATGGTTCACCTGGGACAGATAGTAAGAGATCTTGATCTTGGATCGTATGCTCTCAACAGACAGACTTTAAACAACGCCGAGTTCCAGGCCTGAGCTAAACCCATAACTTGCGGTTATAGAGTTTTAGGAATCTACACCCCCCCCCCGCCCCCCATCGTCGGGGGTGAAAAAGGTAGGTAAAATGACATCACATTATATATATTACATTTCACAGTGGAATGTGTGACGAGTTATTCGGTGGAGCTAGAGCCAGGGGGCAGGAGGGTGTTGGTGAAGGGCGGCGTACGATGAGAGATGTGATGAGATGTGTCGCGGTTGTATCATTGTTTTACGAGCATTATTAACGGTTGTTTGGGGTACTCTTGGTCAATTAATATATCTATGAAGCAATTTGAAGGTGATTTAAACGTTGTGATGGTAAAATAGAATCCATTTTAGGGCAGTTATTTTCATTCAACGTGATTAAACTTTCTCAGTACTATTGGCTACAATGCACAACATAGCCACTATGCAGACTCGGATTTAGCACTGAGCTTCAGGAGTTTGGTGTGAACACAGTCTTCCCAGTGTTTTGGCAGAGATTCATTTGGCTGTTGATTCCGATAGGAAACAAAATGTATATTTTATACTCGTGTTTAGCAAACTATGATTTGCCTCATTTATGTAGTAATATAATTACATATTACATCTTCTATATGTATTATTATGATTGCATGTCAATAATATGCTTAAATTTAGTAGAAATTTCCGTGGAAATTATAATTTTTGCAGGTACTTTTGTTCAAATGTGATAAATGTACGTAAGTTTAACTTCTTTCGTAATGTGTAACCTAGCCGTGCTAATCGGAGGTGCGGGGAATGTGTGATCATTTCGCGAGCTGGGCAAGCAGGAGTAGGGTGATTGAGCACTGTGGGTTTTTGTAGCACGTGGGCCGACGCAGGGTCTCTTGGTCAATGTCGCAGAGACAAGAAGGCTCCCCGTAAGAGAACATTTCGAAACAAAGTGTTGCTGTCACGTTGCCCACTCGTGTGTGTTCCTGCGCGAAGTTGTCCAGTAATCTCAAGCAGCCGTGCGACGATGAGGAAGAGGAAACGAACACAACGCAAACTTAACATCGCTTATATTCTTGGTTCTTTCGGTAAAGTCACGTAGAAGGGAAACAATAAAATAATAAAAATATAAAACAATAAAATTCTCACGACGTTTCGACTGCAACAGAAGCAATCATCATCAGGTGTGAAAACAGCAATTAAATGTTCTTGCTGTGGTCGAAACGTCGTCAGAATTTTTTATTGTTTTATATTTATTATTTTATTGTTTCCCTTCCACCTGACTTTACCGAAAGAACCAAGAATATGAATCCCTGCAGTCACGAAAGCTTTAAATAAAAATTTTACATCACTTGTCTCTGAATGGTCTTCATCTGGCCTGTTCTCTCGTTATGAACACGCCGGGAGACAGGGCCGGATGGGCTGGCTACAAGGACACGATTCAACAGGTGACATGGTTAAATAACGGACGTCGGTTATTAACGGTAATTTATGTTAATAGCTGTCACGTGGTTAAATAAAAAAAACGTCAATTACGTGAGACATTAATCCGAATGGACTTTCATCTGATTAATTAATAGCTTAGTTGACAATGTCAATGTGCGTTCATTTGTTAAAATAAAGTATGCCATATACAACAGGAAGTTAATTTAATTGAGCTCTTTCCTGGTGATAAGAAAAGTACATTACATTTTTAACTATGATCCAATACAACATTTTAAAATTTCAGGTAACATTCTGATACGCGTAATCATAAACAGTGATCATCAGCCAAAATCAAGCCACTGCTGGATGACGTTTTTCCCAAGCCATCGCCATCTCCCACGATCCCAAGATGCAATAATCCACAAAGCGTCTGGAAACGAGCTGTTTCAATTGCTTACAGATGCGTCCCATTCCGTATTTGCCACTTCGTCGTCATTCTTGCATTTCGGCCATCATCCCTTTTAGCAATGTATGGCGACAAAACTTTGGATAATGCCGTTAACTCGCATACATTCTCTAAATTTACATGTTCATCTGTCTGCCTGTTTGCAAATCCAAGCATGTATCTCTCTATTCTTCGTATTTGGTAAAGGCCATGTGTGCAAATCTGGTGACCAACTACAATAAACGCCTGACCTCTGTGATTGCCAACAAGGGTTTTGCCACCAAGTACTAAGTCATGTTTTGCAGAGGGGTCAAATACTTATTTCCCTCATTAAAATGCAAATCAATTTATAACATTTTGACATGCGTTTTCTGGATTTTTGTTGTTGTTATTCTGTCTCTCACTGTTCAAATAAACATTTCATTAAAATTATAGACTGGTCATTTATTTGTCAGTGGGCAAACGTAAAAAAATCAGCAGGGGATCAAATACTTTTTTCCCTCACTGTATGAAGGCTGATAAGCAAACGAGGGGGTGGGTGGCCAGCACCACGCCCGGCCGCCGTTGTCTCCTCTGTGGCGATATTTTCAAATCGCACCACTCATTTGAGGCTGAGTCGACCTAGGGTAGGTTTGTAGCGCAGCACGCAACCGTTACACTACCGCTCTCCCTATGCACACATAATAATACAATACCCGCCATTCACTACTAAGTGACGGTGACGTCACCACGGCGCCTGTGCCAGGCCAGGTGCACTTTGAGACCACGTAAAGTGACGAAGGCTCGCTAACAGGATGTCTCGGAACAGACCCAGGTGCCATGGGTTGGCTGATTGAGATGATCGGTAGATGCACCAGATGTACCCCATACTGTGCGTACTTCGCCCGGTGGCTAAAAGTCCACAACAGCATCTGCCGCCATTCGCCACTAGGTGGCGCTTGTGCCAGGCTGATTCCCCAAAGACAAAGATCCCCCGTATAGCCTTAACAGACTGTAGGGGCAAGTGTTGTTAGCGATAACCTATGAAGGCTGCAACAGTACACGAGGGGGTGGGTGGCCAGCACCACGTCCGACCGCCTTTGTCTCCCCAGTGGTGATGTTTACACACCACACTGGGTACTCATTTGAGTCTGAGTCTACTTAGGGGATGCCCAGGACCGGTTCAGATAATCGTCACTGGTGTTGGCCGTGAGCGGGCAATCGAACCCAGGTCGCCGGGTTCACAGCGCAGCGCGCCAACCGATACACTACCACTCCCCGCTAAGTCCACACATACTCATACACACACACATCTACACATTCACATATCGTTGAATACTCACTTGTAGGCCGAATTCACTGCTTCATGGAGGAACAAGACTTATTATATTTTTTTAACTTTTTCAAGGCAATAACACCTGTCCTTTAAACCTCCGATGCAGCCCAAATGCACCACCTATATGAGGGAAGTGAAGATTATATGGCAAGGTGTGGCTTAGAGAGGTAGGTGGAGACTGAGATTACGCTCAAAAGGACTTCACAAATAACATATCAACCAACTCGTCAAAAAACACTGCCATGAAGAGGAAACCATTCAATAGGCAACATTTCAAGCAATGGCTCCTGATCGTTGTAGAGCTACAGAAGCCCAAGATTGAAAACGAATTTCTTTGCCACTGATTTTTGTGTTGTGTTTTGTTCTTCCTCTGCTCCTCCGATTAGCTTAATTGCCTATGTACCGTGCGAAATAAGTTCAAGGTACATACGAGTAATAATGAATTCGTCACGAAGTAAACTGCGTATTTCTGAAATCCATATATCCCTCGATTTACGAACGTTCAGTTTACGAAACTCCACATTTACGCAATGGACAAATTATGGACACTTTTTGAAATCGAATTTCCGCGTGAACGATATTTCACACGGCATGTGCCATCAGATCAAACAAGATAACATCTCGCTCCCGTGGCGAAATATATATTTTTCAAGGGGGGCGACTCGGCCGGCAGACAACACCAGGCATTCCACAAATACACTCACTCACTCGCCCACCCACACATCGCCCACCCACACACCCACTCGCCCATCCACCCACTCACTCACTCATCCACACTCTCACTCACCCGCCAATACACTCACTCACCTGCCCACACAATAATTCGTTCACCAATACACTTACTCGCCCAGCCACTCACTCGCCCATCCATCCACCCACTCGCCCATCCACTCACTCGCCCACAAGCTCACTCGCCCACTCACACACCCACTCGCCCATTCACTCACCCACACACTCACTCAACTCACGATAATAAAAAAGTTGAGTCGTGAAAGGTGTGGCTCCGAAACTATGTGTTCAACAATGGTAACTCACAAGGAAGTAAGTCTAACATTTTTTATTTGCATTCACTGGATCTGTCACTGCTGAGATGCTAGCTTAGGGCCATGTGTCAGGGTGTGAGTCTCTGAAGGGGGTTGGTCCAACATAGTCCGAGTCAGAGAGACACTCACAGAGCCAGCACCATTGAGATCGCACGCAGCTCTAGAGTTTCGTCAGAGTTTCGTTGTCGAGACTCCGGCGGCAGCGAGCGATGGAGCTCACAGTGAAATTCTTCCGCACGCTCGTCTTCTTTTTGGTCACGTTCTACTTCTCAGAGGTGAGCCGAGTGTCCCAGTACACGCGTTTTTGTTCCAGTGTGTGTGTGCTTGTGTGTGTCCCAGTGTGCGTGTTTCCCAGTGTGTGTGTGTGTGTGTCAAGGCCTATGATACCATCAGTAGGCCTGGGCTATGGATTTATCTTCGTGCTTTCGGAGTCCCTGACCCACTGCTCACGATCATTAAGGACCTTCATGATGGTGAGTGGGCCCGGGTAAAACTACGTGGCCGGGAGTCGGAGCCATTCCCTGTACACCTTGGGGTACGACAGGGATGTCCTCTGGTTCCCACATTTTTAACATCTATTTTGACCACGTAGTTTAGGAAGCCTTCAATAGCTATACCGGATGAATTTCCATTTGGTACAGATACAATGGTAGGCTGATTGATGCCCGGGTGCGGTCAAGGGATGGCTCCCTATTGCTGAACTATGTTATGTATGCCGATGATCTGGTAATTGCTGCTCACTCAGAGGAGGAGTTGGAGGTGCTGCTGCTAAACCTAGAGCTCGCCACCAATAGGTGGGGCCTTACCATCAGCCCCACCAAAACAAAGCACCTGCCTGGGTATTTTGTAACATCGGACACTCCACCACCACAACTCCCAAATGGTGATAGGACAGTTGTGGAGAGAGTGGAGAGTTTCCCATACCTTGGCAGTGTGTTCATGACCGGCTCCAGCTTAACAGCAGAGGTCTCACTCCGAATCAATCGAGCGGCATTATCTTTTCATCGGTTGCGTAACGCTGTGTGGCAGCTACCTGGTCTATCACTCCGCACGAAGCTTCAGGTCTTCTCGGCCATGGTCATTCCCTCCCTTGTCTATGCTTGCAAAACGTGGACCCACCTAATGGAAAATGTTCGCCGGTTAGAAACATTTAGGCTGGCCTGCCTACGATCCATCCTGGGTTTAACCAGGCTGGATTGTGTGAGGAGCTCACAAATCCTTGAAAGATTTGGACAAAGTCCCATCGGGGAGCTCCTCCGGCAGGCAAGGCTGCGTTGGCTGGGTCATGTAGCCCGCATGCCCAGCCACAGCTTTTGTTCTGCCGGATCGAGGGGGCTAAACTGGCGCGGCACGGGCTAGAGAAGAGATGGAGTGATGTGGTACAGAGGATGTGGAGCTGAGTGGACTTGCCAATGACTGGTACCAGCGGTGTCAAGATCGGCCTCTGTGGAGTTGGCTCGTGAAGGACGCTACTGGGCAGTTGGAGGCAGTCGCCCTCCAACAACAACAGAGGGCGGAGGAGCGACGCTCACAACAACGATTGGAACGCCGGGTAGCTAAAGCACAGCAAATTGGCACAGTAAGGGGCACAGATGGTGCATCAGCCAGTTGTCTCAGTCGACCCGTGGCACCTGGGTCTGCCCCATGACCTCCTGCCAGCGGGCGTTCGACACTTCACGTGGCCTCAATGTGCACATAGCCTGGCACAAGCGTTGTGGTGACGTCACCACCACTTAGTGGCGAATGGCGGTTGTTGTTGTCCCTGTGTGTGTTCTTCGTGCTTTCGGAGTCCATGTTGTTGTGTTTAGTTTGTTGTCCTTCACCCGCACCTCCGATTAGCATGGTTGGCTACATATGGTGCGAAAGAAGTTCAACATTCAAACAAACATTGATGATGCCTTGCAACATGTGTGTAATTGGTTCATGACCAGCTCCGATTTGTTAGCGGAAACCTCACTTTGAATCATTGAAAGTAATATTGTGGTTTCATTGGCTGCATAGTAACACTTTGTTTTGTCTTTCCCTGTGAAGGTTCTTGTGCAAGCTCCATCCCTAGATGACAAGTTTTGCCCCCCAGGGAAATATAGCAGCAAGACTGGTGTGTGCTGCAATATGTGTATGGAAGGTAAATATGTCGGTGCAAGCCCACAATGTAAATGATGGTTTACCTGCTTGGGCAAGTATATTTGGGGCGGCATGGTGGAAAGATGTTAACTACCTCGCCTGGTATGCAGGAGGTCATGGCTTCGATCCCGACCCTGACGCCTGCATATTTGGAGTTGGCGTGTTTTCCTCGTGATCGCGTGGATTTTTATCTGACTTCTGCGATTTTTTTCCTTCTACATCTAGAAGCATGCGTTTTTGTGGCTGCTGTAAATGTCCACATGATAAGCCACTTCGTTGAGCTATTATTTGTGTCCAGGCAGCTTTTGAACCTGAGCTACATAGCTCAGTGGGCCTTACCTGGTGAAATAAAAATAGTTGAGTTTATTTTTTTCGTAGTTTTTCATAAAACGTGTTAATGTTTTTTTCCCAAAAGTATTTAATTGAGCAAATGATTCGGGTACACACAGTGGACCATGTTTGGAAATTGCCACCAGTATTATAGACACTGCGATGAACAATGATTATTACTCAAAATAAAGTTTTTTGTTAGATTGCGTACTTAAAAATGCCTTCGTTAACCCACCACCTGACACAGCCAATTAGTAAGGTTTGTCACGTAAACAAAACATGCCACTTAGTTACTACTTCAGCATACCGGTTGTGTGTTGGAAAGTAAACCCATTTACAATTTGAGTATGACGTTTCGCTGGTGATCACAACCAGCTTCATCTGGCAATTTGCCAGAATTAGCCTCACTAATTGGCTGTGTCGGGTCGTGGTGGTGGGGTAAGGACACATTTATAATTACGTGATCTAACCCAAACTATTTTTTATTAATAATATTGGTCGCCAAAGCCTACGTGTTAAAATGATGATTACCAACGTTTTATATTTTGAACCTGTCTTTGTAAGTCAATAAATTCTACCTCCCTGGTGTCTACTTCCTTAACAAAGCTAACCCTTTAGGGCAGTGGCTCTCAGAGTGTGGTCCAAAAACCTCCTCCCGGAGGTCTGCCGTGGCTGTGATGCCAACCGCAGGTTCAGAATCAAAACCAGAATATTTTATTCATACAAGAGGAATTCTGAGCTATAAAGATATTTTCCACAGACGATCATTAGGTTGATCAGAACAAAATTACAATGTTCATTCCTTTTGCTCAGACATGCATTCATATTTGACTTGTGATATTTAATTACAAAATAATAGAGTCAGGTAAACTTCCCTGATTAAAATACCCTAACCCCAAGATGTAAATGACCCCGTAAAAAAATTATAACTGCGTAAAAAAGAAGTGTTTACATTCCGATAACATGAATCATGTAGTATTATTATTCGGATTTAGAGAAGTGAATGCGGTTTGTCACCAGGAGTGGGCGGGCGACTGGTTGGCCTGCAGAAATGTTTACATCGGCTAAGTGATCCGTGGGCTCTACAAGTTTGGGAAACGCTCCTCGAGACTAAAACTAACAACGAAACAATTTGTACTTTTATATTTACCGGGTAAGGCCCAATGAGGCTATGCAGCTCTTTTTCAGAAGGAACCTGGCTATCACAAATGATAAACTCAACGAAGTGGCTTATCATCATGTGGATATTTTTAGCACGAAAAGAGTATAAATGCTGTATGTTGATTCTAAATGTGGAGGGAAAAACCGAAGGACCCGAAGAAAAATCCACACGACCACAGTGAGAACAAACTCCAAATATTCAGCAGGCGTCAGGGTTGCGATCGAACCCACGACCTCCTGCACACCAGGCGAGGTAGTTAACATCTCGGCGTGGTAAGCCACTTTGTTGAACTATCATTTGTGGTCAGGCTCCTTATGAAAAAAATACTAATAGCTCAGTGGGCCTTACCTTGTAAAATAAAAAATAATTTAGTTTAAGTCCATTTATTTTTTCGAGATTTACTTACCTTGCCTATAGTTTGCCCTCCTATCGCGTTTTTGCATTGTTGGTTATTAATTATCATTATTGCTTCATTCAATCACTCATTCCCTCCAGAACCAACGCACCAGTCTCCCTGACGCTCTCTTAATGACCTCCTGGCCCAGCCGTTTCTATGGACGCCGTTGCTAGGCTGACGATGTGCCCTCGTGGTCATCACAGAAACGTTATTTTTGTAGTCCACAGTGCATTGGTTATTCTTGGTTCTTTCGGTAAAGTCACGTAGAAGGGAAACAATAAAATAAAAAATATAAACAATAAAATTCTCACGACGTTTCGACTGCAACACAAGCAATCAATTTTTTTTATTTTCTTGCTGTGGTTTTCACACCTGATGATGATTGCTTGTGTTGCAGTTGACACGTCGTGAGATTTTTATTGTTTTATTATTTTTATTATTTTATTGTTTCCCTTCTACGTGACTTTACCGAAAGAACCAAGAATATGAATCCTTGCAGTCACGAAAG